AATATTCAAAATTTATAATAAATTTTAATTTCTAAATATAGCAATAATTACTAAATATATAAAAAATAAAAATTCAAAATTCAAGACCAAAATTATATTAAACAGAGCCTAAATAAATAAATAAATTTTTTTTACCAATACAAAAAAAGCATAAATAAATAAATAAATTTTTTTGCCAATAAATAAAAAAAATAAAATCCATCAGTCAAAAATATTTATAGTTTAGATTGTTAATAAAACAAAATTAAAATATTTTAAATTTTTTACAGAGGCTCTTTTTTTATTTTAATAATTTCTTATAAGGTTGCTCTTACTGTGAAGAATAAATCAAGGCATGAGTCAATCAAGGAAACGAGAGCAGAATCACACACAGAAAGGCTTGAGTCAAGCAAGGAATCGAGGCATGGAAGTAAATGACAGAAAAGAAACGAAACTATCTATCTTCTGTCATTAACCAAAATCACAAAAGTTGAGCAAAGGCCAAAATTACGCCCCAGTGAATAATTTTATAGGCATATATTCAGGAACTAACCCAACATATGTATATATATAAGGATAGCATATATCAATTCTGACTTTAAAAAAATATTAAAGTTTTAATTTTAAACGATGTTATTTTATTTAATTAAAATATTGATACATGTTTTTGGAAATTAAAATCTTAATCCAAAATTCAAACATCTACTATATTAAATGTTGGATATTTAGATTTAGAGATTGATTATATTATAATATACATTGAGTTTCTAAATTTCAGTGTAAACATTTAATAAGTTGAATTTTTTAATTTTAAATTAAATTTTAATTAAATAAAAAGACATCATTTAATGTTATTACTTTATATCTTTTCAAAGGACGCTGATTCATGCACCCAATTTATCCACACTCTCCGTTACACACACTTCAATTTTCGTTATTTTCGTTAATTACACTTAACTCCGTTACCATCCTCACATTATCTTCTTCCTCTTTCTTCCTTCTTCTTTTTTTTTTTTTTCTCTCTCTCGATATGGATTCTTGGAGAACCCAGACTTGGGTTCTCCTAGAGAACTCAATCTGGGTTCTCCAGAACTCAGGTGAACCCAGACCAAGAGAGAAAAAAAAATGGATGAAGAGGATGGTAACAGAGTTAAGTGTGATTAACAGAAATAACGAAAGTTGAAGTGTGTGTAATGGAGGGTGTTGATAAATTGGGTAAGCCTATCATTTCCCCTTTTCAAAA